CTCGCAGCCCCTCTCGGAATCCTGCGGCCCGGGAGCCTCCCGCATCCTGCAGGGTGGAGAACACAGCGTCGGGAAATTTTCCTGCGAGGCTGGCCTAGGATCAGGAGGCACTACTCGCGACCCAAACCAGCCACTTATTCTTTAGTTCGCTCACTGGTTTACTCTTGCACGCACAAACGTAACGTGTGCTTGGATTCATTCAGACGCTCTTCTAACCAGACTCGTGGCTCTAATCTAGCCTCTGCCCTATCCGTACCACCTCCTCCCGTCACCCACTAAAGCCATATTGCCCTTTTTTCTTCAGACTTGCTAAGCTTTTTTCTATCAGTCTCCGCAGGAGGCAGATGGCAGGCTCTCAAATAGGGTAATTTGTGGAGAGTCCAATAAAAGAACGGTTTACAAAAACCTAAGCAGTATTTAGGGATAGAACAGTGCCACGGGGTTACCAGCAGTAGGGAGTCTTCATCACCAAGGTCTGAAAGAGGGAGGGTTCCAGGAACATGGACAAAATATCTCTATAAGGACGGTTCCATGACAGGAGCTGCAGTATTTGATTAAGGGTTTCAGGCTACCTAGGGACCCCAGTGTGTGCGTACGAATGTGCACACAGGTGCGTAATAATTATCTCCCTTTCTCCAACTTTGCTGCTTCTCTCCCGTAGGTGTAGGTACTTCCTGTTGACCAAACTCTGATTATATTTATTTAATGTCTGCCCCACCATCACAGCACAGTATCATGCTATAGTAAGTGCTTAGACCTGTTCAAAGTCGAGTGAATGTAATGAAACAAGTAATTATTCAGAGACTTCCCAGAGGTCACAGTTTGGCAGAGGTCCCCTGGGGGAAGTATGAAGAATCTAGGGAGCTCACAGAATGGGTAGTAAACTCAATTTGAGGGGATTCAGGGGAAGTGTTCCTGAGGGGTCCTTCAAACTGAGAAGGCTGGGTAGAATTAGTGAAGCCAAAGGAGTAAGGGGAAGGTACCTACTGTTGTGGGGAAGTGGAGAGAACCTGGCTCTAGCACTCTGACCTGACTCAGAGGGAACCTCCCCTTCAGAGATTTGCTGCTAGGAGCAAAGGAGGGGTGTTTGGAAGAGCTGCACTCCACAGACTGAAGAGCTGTTCCCCACTGGTTAGGGTTTGGACCTTATAAGCATACAGCCCCTGCTTGCACCCCTCTAGGATGGGGAGCACACCTTTATGTCTTATTCCAGGGAAGCTCAGCTCTGCACTCAACCCCTTGCCTCTCCCTCCATTTCTCCTGATCTCAACTGCTAGAGGTGAGATCTTGCCTTGTGTCAGCCTGGTTGGCTGGGCGGTGGACTCCCTACCGTAGCTTCACAGAAAGTAAGCTTCCCGGTGGACAAGTAGAGCGGGCTGAGCCCTGACTGGCTCTGTAGAGGCTCTGCATGCCTAGCTACTCTGCCACTGGCCAGGGTGGGGGTGTGACTTGGAGCAGCCAGAGACCATCAGAGGGAGGTAAGGCAGGTCATTCCAGTGTGTTGCCCTCAGTGTATCCTAAGCCAGCCCAGGATGAAGCCACACCCTGAGGTCAGTCTCATCAGGAAAAGGAGGGACTTCTCCCCCCTGAGATGTCCCAGGGCTGGAGGGGCTCCCTGAGAGGAGGGAAGAGGTTCTGTCCTGGGAAGTGCACGTGTACATTTTCATTCTACTCTCCACCACTCTAGGTACTGTGAACTGTGGACACAGGGACTTGTGACCCAGTTTCCATCCTGAGGATTCCCAGTCTAGAGCGTGGGGGGCTCCACCCAGTTGGAATATGGAAGGTAGAGCTTCCCAGGTAGGGCTTCGTCAGCATTCTTCCATGGGGCAGTAAGCCCTGGCTAAGGTTGTGACGCAGACTGAGGCCCCACCTGTGGAAGTCGGCTCAACATGCCAACGTCCCTCTCTGTCACCCCCACACTCACTCACATGTACACAGCTCAGACTTCTGACACCACTACCACACAATCAGTCAGCCCTGCATCCTGAGCCTTGCCCAGGGCTACCTGGCACTTACCTGGCCACTCCCTCTCCCAGAGGCTCCAAAGCTGATGCTTCACGAGGACCACTCCTGATTGTACCTGCTGCCTACACCCTAGCAGCCAGGCTCCAATGTCCCTCCCTGCCGCTCTGCCCAGACTCCCACTCAGGCTCAGCTGCGGGAGGACAAAGGGGCTGGACGCCAGCAGGAGAGGAGGAGGGGAGGGGGAGGGGTGGACGCTGCTCTTTTGTTCCACTCTTGGACCAGCCCCAGGAGGGGAGGGGGTGGGAGTAAGAGTGGGATTGACTGTGTGTGCAACTCTGGGATCTGGTATGCCTGGGACTGGGGATGACCTGTGCTGGCCTTGTCCTTCAGTAATACACAGGGGTGTGTGTGTGTGTGTGTATGTGTGGTGTGCCTCAGGTAGGCAAGGTGGTTGTCAACGTGTTGGTGTTCCAGTGTACCTATGTGTGAATGTGGGAGTGCGTGACTATAGCTTGAGGTGGTGTGGACTTGTGGATGGATGACCACACTGCTGCAGAAGTGACCAAGAATGTGACTGCCACAGATGTGGATTGAGGTTTCTCTCCTTCTGCCTCTGTGTGACTATGCTGTATCCATGTCCCTGCTTGATGGCAGACGTCATTGTGGGACTTTGCCTGACTCTATCTCAGTATCTGTGTCTTTTTGTTCATTTTTATGTATGTCATGAGTGTCTCAGACTTGTGTGTATTATGGGCCTATATATCCATGGTGTGTCTGTGTGTGTGACAGGGGTCTGTATAGCATGTGGTCCTGTGCCTGTCTGGTGTGGTATGAGTGGGGGATAGGCCCCTTGGAGGGGGCTCATTGGGGTAGGGCATGGTGTTACTGGGCAGGCTGAGTTGGGTGGAGAGGGGCTGACTTGGCCTCCTGGAGCCAAGGAAGGGGATTCCACAGGCTGGTTCTGGATGATTTGTTGCCTCTACAAAGGCCCACAGAGCCTGACATCCAGGGGTTGCCCTCTTGGAAGGGGACAGCAATTTGGGGAGAAGATTGCTTTGATAAGAATCTGGGTAGACCCTGGGCACCTGGGACCTAGTCTGGCACTGTTGTGATGATTGTGACCCTGATTAGCACTGCCCACCTCTTGGCCTGGCTCTTCATCTCAGCAGGCAGGATACACAAGATTCCTGCTCTGCCTATCATATTGGGTTGCTTAGAAGAAGGTGAGTGAAAGCCCTTAGAGAGGCCAGGTATGATGAGACCCTGATCCAGGCAGAGCAGGCTCAGACAGAATGGGGGCACTCACAGTGATCTTGACCAAGTGTGTGTCCTGAGGCTTGACTAGAGTCTGTTCTGAGGACCTGCTCCAGGGAATGGCGAACTGCCCTTATATCGCAAAAAAAGATTTCCTGTGTGACTATTATTTAAAGAATGTGAGATATTTGGGGGTCTTCATATCTCTTCTTGGGAAAAAGAGACTGGGGGTTCACAGAGGGGCCTGGAGAAGGTGGAAAGTAGGCTCAGACAGGATGAGGCTCCAACCTCTGAGGTCAGAAGGAAGAAAGGACTGGTTTACAGGGGACAGCCAGAGGTCTAGGGCCCCTTCTCTGTTTCCTTGTGAAGTAGGTGGCGAGGCTGTTCTCTACAGAGAAGGGGAGGCCGTGGAGGGTTCCAGGAAGGTAGGTTTCCCAGGTTATATAAGAGGAATCAGGGTGGACCATGGCTGCAGGCTTAGATGGAGAGAAGCCAGGCTGTCTGCCCATCTAAGGTAGGACCGCCCTCCAACCTCCATTATTTGGGGTGAAAGGGTGACAGCTGGACTGGCCCTGGATTGGAGGATGGGGTATGGGCTGGCTGTTCCAGTTGGGACCCCAGCCCCCTCCATCCCCACTTTCCTCTCCTAAGATTCCAGGATGTCTTAAGGTTCCCAAGTGTGGCCAGTGGGCCAGGGGGAACTGACTAGATAGGGAAGGACTGGTGTGAAAGTTTTATTCTCTTTCCTATGTGGGCCTGACAGAGGTTGGAGAGAAGGCATAACATGGTGGGGGGTGTGCATTTTGGGTAGGGCAGTGCCCCCAACCCCAACACTGGCCCAGCAGTTTCACTTACTGCCTGTGTCCAGAGAAGAGGCTGGAGCTGACCCTTGCCCCAGGAAGAAGCATTTGCCAGATATTCAGTAGCAAGGGAAAGAGGGATAGTCCTAGAGGTTAACATGAGGGGTCAACATTTGGAAGGGACTCTTTTCTTTTCCTTCAAGAAGGTGCCAGAAACTTTGAGGCCCCAAGAATTCTATCTACGCTTATCTGGAGATGAGACACATCCCTTGGCTCCCGGGAAGTGTGGCATTTGCTTCAGGCAGGCTAGAGCTGGGGTTCAGCCTCACCCTTTCCCCTTGGGACACACCCAAGACATACAGACTCCTGGGACAAACTCAGAGTTGAAGATCTGCCCTGACTCCACAGTGGACCCCTCCCTGCAGAGAGCACACACCCCAAATATTGAAGAACAGGAAGGGACATATGTGGTCCCCGGGCTGCATTTTGATTTTTGGCCCAGGTGTTCCCATTATGCTAGGCATAGGGGTGCGCCTGCCTCAGGAAGGTCCAAAGCCCTGAGAACTCAAAGCCACCCCCTGTCATGGGACAGAGGCCTGGTGAGGGCTTGTTCTTCTATAGGGGAGCTCAGAGTGCCTCCATATGGCTGAGGGACCAGCTGTCCCACTCCCCAGCCCTGCATTTAACTACCTGTCCCCCTCTGTTATGGAAGGCGATGTGGGTTGGAGCCAGTCTCTGGGTGGGACACTGGCTCTGCCTGTTCTAAGCTATATGGCCTTAGACAATTGCTTTACCTCTGGGGCCCGGGCTGTTAAGGACACCTGGCATCATGACTGACAGGGTAGGGGCTCAGCCATCCTGCCACCATCCCAGAGTTACTGAGAACATTTCCTCCTCAAATCACAGGGCCAGAACTGAGCCCCAAACCCAGTATGCTCTGTCCCCACCCTCCTGCTGACAACTCACAGACAGCACACATCAAGATGGCAGCTTTAATCATCCTGGACGAGGCCCTCAGGCTCCCTCCACTGCAGGCCTACTGGCCACATGTCCACATTTCATCATGCTCAGAACACTTTTCCTAAGGGGTCTTTGCCTTGTGGCCACAGTGGGGGAACATGAGGTTGTATTAGTCTGTAGATCTCCTGGGCCTCAGGGCCACTTCTTCCCCAGAGGCCTGTTGGACACTTGGGTGTGAGATAGACCAGCTCTCAGCCTGTACTTCTGGCTATCTCCAGCTCCTCCTAGGGGACATAGTTCAAGCCCTCTGGTGGGGCAGGGGCTGGTGGTGGTGGTGGGAGGCTGGTTGGGAAGGAGGATGTATCTGGATCACAGCCACCGGCTTTCCTCCCTGGGCAGAACTTCCTTGTGCTTTGAGACTGACATGGAGAGCAGAGCTGCCAGGGGCCAGGGGTAAAAGCCTAGCCCAGGTCTTCAAGGTAGGATAAAAATGGAGAAGTCAGTTGCCCATGGTAGACAGGTAGACAGACACAGGTGGGCAATCACATCCCCGTTGCCACGGAAGATGGCACCATCCAGTGACCCATCAAAGCTTTCTGGCTGGGATGTGAGAGAGGCCTGTGAGAGCAGGACCAGGCCCCAGACTCCACACTTCCCAGAAGGAGCCCCAGGCCTGCAGGGGCATCTGAAAGGCTAGAATCCTGGCCCAGCTGGGCCTCAGGGGAGAGGAAACACCCTCCAAGAGAGGTCATGGTGACAAGGGGCCAGGCCCCAAGTAGAGGCTGCGGAGCCAGCTCCCGGAGCTCTCGGTCCAACACGCTTCTGCCAGCTCTCCTGGGCTCTCCTGTTTTCTATGTCAGGTACAGGCCCAGACAGACAGGTCTTCTGCTAACGCCCACCCCGGTCTGTAAGGGTCTTGGTATGGCTGCCGCCCCCTCGGGAGCCCGCAGGCGTGGCAGTGCTGTTGGCATATGTGTCGTAGCTGCTGTCTGAACATACGGAGAGCTCATCGGAGACCTCCACGCCATCGCTGATCTCTGCTGGGCCAGAGGGAGACAGAATGTGAGTGGGGAGGACAGGGTGAGGATGGTGACAAGTGGGGCGGGAAGGGTGGCCTGCAGCAATTCCTAGTGGGGCCCTTAGAGACCCAGTGCAGCTGCTGGGTTCCAGCTGGCATGGAGCCTGGCATTCAAGGCCCTCCTGGTCTGCTGAACGCTCTGGCCTTGTCTCAGTATCTTATCCCCTGGAACTCTCCCCTCCAGCCACAGGAAGCCACCTGTGTCCTCTTGAGTTTGGCACTCTTAGTCTCCAGGGGATCTTTGTACATATTGGTCCCTCTCTTGGGAGGGACCAATGTCCCTGTGGACACTTCCTTTTCCTAAACTCTGACTCACGTCTTCTCAGCTGTGTTGTGTCCCCCTTGTGGAAGCTTCCTCTGAGTCCCCCAGGGAGGGATGGGCCTCTTCATGGACAGCCCCTGCTTCCTTTGGCCCTACCACATTTGGTATGAGTTCTAGGACCCGACTAAGCAGAGTGGCTCCCGAACATCTGTGCTGTAGAGATGGCAGAATGCAGGGCACAGACGGGTTCAGGGAAGGTCTGCTGAGTGGAGCTCAGCCCAGAAGAATGCTCTCTGGTTCCTGGTGCCCAGGCAAAGTGTTCCCACACTGCCCCTACCAGGATCACCCTCCACCCACTGCCCGGGTACTCTCTACCGTCCCCCACACTCCAGCTACATCATCTCACCAAAACCTTCCTTGCTGCCCCAGGGAGCTCTGACCCCACTCTCCTTAGCACCCGCATTGGGAGAGCTCCAGCAACCCTCTATTTTCCATGTCTGTCCATACAGCTGCATCTTCCATCCGACAGGGCTTGCCAACAGGGGCTAGCAACGAGTAGGGTAAAATCATTATTTGTGCGCCTGTATGTGAACTAGGGGAAGGAAGATGGACCTTCAAACAGGCCCCTCCCCGCCCGCACATCGCCCTTGCCCAACAACTGTGATGTGAAAGGGAGCCACAGGATCCCAAGCTGCCTGCCTGTGGAGGTGTGTGTGTTTCTGTGCGTGTGCAGGTGTAAACCCAAGTGGGCTATGTACACCTGTCTGTGTCCCTACGTACATGCACTGTGTGACATTGCTTGTAGGTGTGAGCCCCCGCCCAGGGACTGCTTCGCCTGTCTTCGGGCTGTTTACCTGAGAAGATGAGCTTCTCCTTCATGATGCTGACATCCCGGCTGGTCCGGCGCACCGCAGCGCTCAGCATGATCTGCTCAGGGTTGTAGCTCCGGATGCCACCCAGGCGCCACCTGCAGAAATGGTCCCATGGGCATCAGGTCCTTCCCCACCCCTTCCTGCAGCACAGACCCTGCCACTTCCAGAGCCTCTCTGGATGTGGCTTGAGAAACTGGCAAGACTCATGTTCCACTGGACAAATAGGGAAACAGGTCCAGAGAGGGGCAGGGTGGGGACTTGTGTCAGAGTCTACTGGTTCTCGGCCAGGGCTCTCCTGCCTCCCTTTACCTCCAGAACCCTAAACTGGCAACCCGGCCCAGAAAGATGGTTGGTTAGTTCTGTCTCAGGTGCCTCCAGTTATGCACCTGGCCCTTTGGGACAATCTCAGGGAGGAAGGAGCTTAGCAGGCATGACGTGCACAGGAGTCCACATCAATGTCAGGAAATCCCAGCTGATGCCTCCCACAGCTCCACCATCATGACAGGCCCAGGGAAGCCAGAAGGAAACCCGGAAATGAAGGGAAGGGAAGGGCAGCAGGGTAATAGGACTGCTCACAAGTGATCTTCACAGGTCTGGGAGGCAAGGGCGTTAGAGCAACTTGGGGTGGGGTGTCTGCTGCTCTGCTCCAGCAACCCTAAAGGGAGGGGCAGGCTGGAGCATGAATCCTCCTGAAGGCTGGGAGGGGCAGGGTGGTGGACACACTGACTTAGGGTGGGCTGGGAGGTGGGCGTGCACAAGGCACGCAGGGACCAAGAGAGAGTGGGGAGAACTCCGTCTCCTGGGCCCAGCCTCGGACACTGCCTTCGCTGTAGTAGTCCCTCCAAACTAACCCCAAATCCCTGGCCTCCCTTGGATGTTTCCTAGGATTTAGGCAGAAGGATTCCTGACCCCCCCACCCTACCCCACCAAATGGAGCTAAAGGGCAGCTTGGAAACAAGCACCCAAACTTCTAGGGGACCAAAGCCTGCTTGGGTGGGTGGAAGGAACCAAGACTCCACAAGAAATCAATTGTGAGTTTCTGGATGGGGTCAGCACAGCAGAAATGGACAGACGGATGGGTGGACAGAGCAGACAGACAAGGAGAAAGCAGGAGGCAGAGGGGAAGGCACCTGCCCCCTGGCTGGGCTGGCTGCCCTGCAAATCCTCGGGGGTAGGGATGGCACCTCTTATCCAGCAGTGGGCCCCCAGCGCCAGTCTCAGTGCCTGCCTAGCGGGTGCTAGACAAGGACTCGTTGAGTGAACGAACAGAAGAATGAGGCCCACAGGGAAATGATCTTTTCCCCCTGCCTCATCCCCCAGGTCGCCTTCTCCATGATGCTGCCCCTGACCCTCCAGGGACAATGACACTGTCCTGGTTGTATCTGAAGGACCCAGCACGACACTGGGCAGTATCGTGTCTACTGCCTCTGTGGACAGAGGAAGGATCAACTGGCCAAATGTCCCTCCCCCAGTCCCATAGCCAGAGGGCAGGTTCTCCTCCTAAAAACACTGGTCAGTAAAGGTACCTGGCCCAGGAGGGCCCAAGGCAGTTGACCAAGGGATGCCTAAGACAAAGTTCTCATCTTAGAAATTAACATTAAAACCCAGCAAGAAGGTATCAGGCTACGGTCTCTGCAGCTAGTTGCATCTAGGACAGGAAGACGTGGTGGGGCTCCTCCCAGGGGAAGGGGAGAGGCGATGTCAGGGAGAGGAGTGGCAGTGGGGGCCAGAGACAGAGGAGGGAAGAAGGGATGGGAGAGACACAGAGAAAGGTAAAGAGTGTGACGGAGGGAGGAGGAAGCCCAGAGAGGCAGGAACTTGGGGTCTGCACTGGGCAGGTCCATAGGTCTGGACTCTGGGGGATAGGGGTGCTCAGGGACCCCCTCCCTGAGGGAGACACGTTGGTGCTGAGAAACAGGGTCAGGGACCTGTCAAGGAAACACTGGTCCCCACTGGCAGAAACTGCAGTGAGAACAGAGAGCAGAGGGACACACAAGGCAGGATGGGAAGAGCAGGGAGCGGGGCTGGGGGAGAGAAGGAGGGGTGCGGCTTCAGGCAAGGGGGTGTGTTGGCGAGGGTGACCCAGGCCCAGAGCTTGGTGCACGGCAGCTTTTCAGACAGAACTAGAGAAGGGACTGGCAAGTAGGGAGAAAGAGGAACAGGAGGAGCACACTAGAATTACCTGATCAAGTGATAGCTGTGAGGTGCCAGAGTGCAGCAGAGGGGGGGAAGGGAGAGAGGAGGGACATGCGGCCGGATCAGAGCAGGATGGGACAGAGAGAGAACGTCAGTCAAGAATAAAACCCAGCCCCTTGGTTCCTGGCTGGGCTGGGCCCCCAGGTTGGCCCTAAACCCTCCCCTGGGCCCCACCCCACCCACATCCCAGCTGCAGCCCTGAGGGGTAGGTGGGGAGGCTTTCCACCGGGCACAGGCGAGGGCTGTGGGAACCTATGCCCCGGCTAACAGGGGCAGGCAAGCTGCAGAGGGGCGTAGGTGGCCAAAGTCCACACAGCATTCGGGACAGAGCTTGGCTCTGGGCTCCTAGCTGGGCGCTCATTCCAGAAGGCACCCTGCCTCTGCTGGAAGAAGGCAAGGCGGGGGACCCCGGGGACTCCCATCTTCTCTCGTGGTCAGGCTTCCCGGTTGGCCTGCAGAAGGCTCAGGGTAGGTTCACCTGGCTGGGTGGGGGCTGGGCCTGCCAAGGGGTGGGAAGGCCGTGGAAGTGTCAGCGCCTACTCACTTCTGAAGCACGAAGATGCCAACGATGAGGGTGAAGGAGATCAGGTCGGCGGTGACCCACATGAGACAGTACTCGTCCGGGGGCTGTGGACAGATGGCCCAAGGCCAGCTTCCAGTCATGGCCCATCCAGACCGAGGGTCCATGGGCTGGAGGACCCCACGTGACCATCAGGGAGGGTAAGGAGGACCTTGAGGGGGATGGAGGCTTATGATTTTACTTTGTAGGAGTGGGCTCTGCGTACTGTGGGCCTCAGTGTGAGAGTGTGAGAGTGTGTGTGTGTGTGAGTGTGTGCGCGCATACTCAGGGTAGAAGTGATGGATGTTAAACCTGGAGGGTCCGCGGCTCAAAGCAAGAACCAAATGATGAAACAAGGGTACTGTATGTCTGAACATATGTGCATATGAATGTAAAGGTGTGATACAACTGGCCGGCGAGCTGCGAACCTGTGGACAGGTGTGTAGCACCTGTGTGGGGTAGGAGTATGCTTCACTGCATGAGGACTGGAGGGCAGAGAGCAGGGGCTTCCCCCCAGGGAACACTGAGGGGCTGGGAAAGGCAAGGCCCTGTGTGTAACCTCAGGCTCCTGGGTCTCGGGCATGCTGGGAGGGGTGAGCTTGTCACCCGTGCTGGTAGTGAGTGGCTTTGTGCCAACTCGGGAGGTTTTAAAGGATGAAAAGCAGGTGAGAACTGGAGAGCAGGTATTTAGGGACCTGGAGGCTGCCTTGGGTTCTAACGTGCAGGCCACAGCCCAGATCCCCATTTCCTCCTCTCCTCGAGGGCTGCTTCTTGCTTCGTTCTCTCTCCCTCATGAGTCCATCCTAACTCAGATGTAACTTGCTGACGATGCCACCCACGAGGCCATAAGGAGCCCTGTGTCTGCCTTTCATGTCCTCAGGGAGATGGCAGCAGGAGCCGCACAGGAGGGAAGCCAGGGCTCCCCAGCTACGGGGAGGCAGCACAGGGACTGGAACTCAGCCTGTGGGTGCTCAGCCCATCAGCTCGACACCATTTCATTCACTACTTTCAAGGAAGACTTTTAACATTCCTAATTCTTGTCCTATTGTTCTTTTCCCTCATTTTAAAATCAAATATAATGAACACACTCCAAACGAAACCTCCCAAGTGGCTATTTGCTTTTTGAGGGCCCCTACGTGATGTGCTCCCTCCTGTGAGTAGGGCCCAGAGTCCTCGAGCGCCTTAGTGCAGCCCCAGAGGCGAGGTAAATTCTCCTCTTGCCTCAAGCCTGCATCCACATCAGGGACACCTCCAGCCCTGAGACCTCCCCAGGGACAGCCCCGAGCACAGAGCTTGCTGAGTGGTAGGAGTAGGCCACAGGCAGCTCTCTACACCCACCCCAGGTGTCCTCTGCCCCCCAACAGTCTCCAACTCACCATGATCCAGAGTGGGGAAGGCACCTGGGACAGGGTATGGGAGTTGTCAGAGGTGACAGATGGGACCCCAGCGCACCACAGCAGGGAGAAGAGCCACGGCGCATTGACAGTGTAGAGGTTCACACTCAGGTTCCAGGACGCGTAGTCCCTGGGCAGGGACAGAGTTTGGTTGGTTCCGGGCACTGGCTGCTTCTCCCTGTGGGAAGCCTGTAAAATGTGCTCCCTTCACAGCCTCATGCCACCAACTTTCCCTGGAGGAAGGAATGCCCATACCAGGGCCCAGCTCCCAGTCCAACCCAGCTCTGCTTGCTGCTCACATCTCTGAACCACGTGTGCAGAACCCCTGTGTGCCCTGCCCTCTGTCCAGCAGTGAGAAGAGTGTCAAGACTAGGGGAGACTCAGTCCCACCCCTGGGCCAGGTGGGGCAAGCACCTGAGCTCCTGGCGGGACACCTGAGTGTAGCGCAGGTTCAGCCGCTGTATGTGGCCTCTCCGCAGACTGGCGACAGCCTCCTTGGAGCCTGACGTTTGCTGGAAGCCAGGAGCCACCTTCCGCACGAGGGGCCTTTGCCTGTTTGGCAGCCACATGACCTATAGGCAAGAGCAGGGGCAGCCTCAGGGTTTTCTTCTGCAAACTCTGGGTAAGAAGACCTACCTCACTAGAGCATGAAGAAGGTTAAAATGATGACCACTTAAATGTGATGGTTATCAGGGGACACTTGGTCCCAGCCATGGCTGTAAGCCCTCTGGCTACAACTCTGGATTGCTGTCATGTCAAGATGGAGAACCCAAACACACATCACTCTGCTGTCACAAACTGGTGTTGATTTCTCTGGTCCCTCATCATTGCACCACAGTGACCTGGGCAGCCCTTCACTGACATAACTGGAGATCCTGGACCCACTGCTGCCCACTGAACATCTGAAAGGACTTTCTGGTTCCCTTCTGCTCCCCGAGAGGACCCTGGCAAGGAGGCAAGGGGCCTAAGACCCCATTTTACAAATGTGAAACCTGAAGTCTAGAGGGGACAGGTGAGTTGAGGTTGGAGCAGGGCTGGGCCAGGGCTGGTTGGGGTGGCTGCAGGGCCTCACCTGGTGCTGTGGGAAGCCAGACCGCAGCAGGGCCTCCAGCGTGACATTGAGGAAGCTGCTGCGGTAGGGGTGCTCCCGGGGCGGGTCGCGGAGGTTGAGGAGCAGCGTGGCGTTGCCCTTGGCCAGCTCCAGCAGCTCTTCCAGGCTGCAGATGGACTGGTTCTGGGCCTCCCTGAGGTCGGAGGGTGACAGGGAGCTGGCCGTCCAGAAGGGGTCAGTCTGGCAGAGACAGGGACACACATGGTTCTGTCACCTGCCATTTCGGGCCTCTGCCCGCTTTCCTAGCAACCAAGTGTGGAGAGCCCTGGGCTTGGGGAGTCCGCTGGTATCCGTCAGGTGAAGTGGTGCTGCGGCCTCCCAGAGCCCCCCGCCCTTACCCTCTACCCAACTCCGCTTCCAGAGGGAATGGTTTTCCCAGAGCACCTCCCACCCCAGCCCATTCTCCTCTGGCCTCTCAGACTGGACAACCGACCTCCCTCCAGAGTGTCCCAGAGTGAACCGTTCTGCTGTCAGCACCCCCATCAGCTGGTCCCAGCCAGGGAGGCAGGTCCAGATCAAGCAGTGACAACCATGAGGTCTGGCTGCTGCGGAACCCGGAGAGGCCACTAACCAGCCTGGCCTCGTGCGTGACCCGAGTTGATGGCCACCTGCCTCTCTCACTGTGTGGGATCCCTGTCTAGGACTGGGGTCTGACCTTCAGGAACCACTGCCCGGCGTTGAGCCTCTGCAGGACGGTCCAGTTGAGCATGGAGGCGGGCCTGCGGGCGAGCTCCGGGAATGCCTGCTCCACGTTGGTGGTGCGCCGCAGCGTGGTGTCGTGCATGAGGAAGGGCACACCGTCCAGGCTGTGGGGAGGGGGCACCGAGTCACCACCCAACCAAGTCACCTGCCATCCACAATCAGCCCCTCACACCCTGCTCCCAACCACCATGGGGCCTGGACTGGCTCTGCCCCTCTCTGGGCCTCAGGCTCCCTACCTGAATAGTGGACAGGGGGCTGATAGGTGACCCTGAAGGGCCAATACCCTCCACTCTGTGCGGGTCAGGTGGGGTGAGAACTGCCAGGGAGGGAGGGTAGGAAAAGGCTGGGACCATTATCATCCGTGAAGATAGGTGCTAGGTCACTCGATAATGGAGAAACTGAGACGAGGTGAGGAAAGTGTCTAGTTCAAGGTTGACCGCCAGGAAGTAGTAGAACATGTCTTGGGACCAAGTCCATTGATCATAATGAGAACAGTGCAAATGTAGGCCTCTTTTACGAATCTCACCCCATCTCCACCTTACCTCCCCGACCAGGGCTGCCAAGAGCTAACCCAGTGCACCTGTGCCCTGCCCCCACTCCTCAAGGCGTGTCACCACCACATGCTAGAAACATATGATAAATAGTTTTACAATGTCCACTCTGGGAATGGTGACCTCACATATATGGTGTCCTTGTTATGGCCAGTATGACTCTATATGGCAGCCCCGCCCATCTCCCCCTCTCAGAGGTGATCTCTATTATAAGATTGGGGTGGATTCCTCCTCCCCTTTATTCTAATACATATTTCAATATCTATAGCTATAAAATGTACCTATCACCTTTGTGTGGTCCCTTAAAATATAACTGGCATCACGGTAATAATATTGCCCCCGCCCCAGCTAACTTCCCTTATCTGAGCATTTGAGCCCTCCCATGAAGCCGCGACACAGAGCTGGCTTCTCTTCAGGTGGATCTGTGCCTCCAGGTCCTTACCCTTCACTCTGCCTGACCAAGAGAGTCTGCTCTCTCCTCTCTTATACCCTGGAGTTTGGCAAAGATTCACTGGCATGGAAAGGGTGCCTCCCTGCTGCGGATGATCCCAGCCTCCACACTCCCATCTCCATGGCTTTGGGGCCGGAGGTTCCACCAGCAGAGACCCTGTGGAGGAGGAGAGGTGCCCTCCTCCCTTCCCGACACCTACCTGACAGTGACGTCAGCCTGGAGCCCATACAGCTTCTGCTCTAGTGCCTTCCGGAAGGACATCAGCGTGTGCTCTGGGGCCAGCTGGAGAGGAAGGCATGGTGAGGGGAGGGCCAGGATTCAAATGACGTCCCCCTCCCCAGCCAAAGGAAGGCCTTGTGTTGGGAGGCTGGGGCAGATCTGGTTCTAATTTAGGCCCCTCCCTGGAGCAGCTGTGTGAGCCTGGGTGCCCATTCAGCTTCTCTGAAGTTCAGTTTCATCCTCTGTTAAGTCATGTACACCTTGCAGGTTTTTTTGGGGAGGGGCAGACATGATGGTTAGGGTGGGTGTATATAAATGTCTGACAGAGAGCTAGCACCTAATAAATAGTAGTTTTGATCATGAGATTATCCTTACTGTGTCCCAGGCACTGAGCTAGACACTGAGGCAGGAAACCTTTCCCATCGTCTGGTGGCTCTTTGGTAGCCTTGGGGAAAGGCAGAATGCCATGTTCCCTCTTGGTTATACCCTAAGCTCAGTCCAGATGAAGATTTGGAGGGAAAGGAGGTGCCTGAGGTGACAGTTTCATTGGAGTGATGAAATATCATGTCCTCTTCCTCCCTGGGTCGCTCGTTACATGGATTAAAAACCCTTAGCAGGTTGCCTGATCCAGAGAAGGTGCTTAAATGGCAACTGTACAGCATGAGTCAGAAGATCCTAGTTCTAGCCTTGACTTTGTATTAACTAGCTTTACGACCTTGGGTGCATTTCTCCCTCCTTGGGGCTCTTTCCCCAGTGGCCCCTTGAGGAGGTGCTCTCTGCTCTCTGAGGGTCCTTAGGCTGGGAGAGTTGGGGTTCTAAGTCTCCCTTCCTGATTCCATGTAGTCTGAGGACACTGTCATACCCGCTTTCTGCCACTGGGGGTCAGCACCAAACCAGGGATTCCTCTAAGACCTGGTTCAAGTGGTGTGGGCAGAGGGAGGGAGGGGGGAAGGAGACACGTGGAGAGGTGGCTGATCTAAGCCCACCTTATGTCCCTCTGGCCATGCTCTGCTCCAACACACTCTCCTCTTCTGGAGGGGAGCCTGGCACCGGAGAGCCAGGGAATGGCAAGGAAAGGCTTTGAAGCTGACCAAGAGGGAGAAATGCCATCTCTAGTGGGGCCTCAGTTTTGCTTTGTTTTGTTTTTTGGTAGTCGAGATTGAATCCAGGGGTACCCTGCCAGCGATCTACATCTGCATCCCTTTTTATTTTTTTAAAACAGGATCTCATTGAGCTTCCCAGGCTGGCCTCCTCCTGCCTCAGCCTCCTGAGTCACCGGGATTATAGGTGAGCCACCACCATGCCCAAGGGCCTCAGTTTCTTTAGCTATAAAATGGGCTCATGATAACAACCTCATAGGTGGAATAGCACATCAGAGACCCTAGGCCAGAGCCTGGTGCACAGTAGAAGTTCTGTAACATGAGTACCTTTCTTTACCTTTTGTCCAGCCTAGGGAACATGCCACCTGTTCTCCCAGTCCAGTGGGCATTGTGAGTCCCCATCCCCAGAGCAGGGTGGTGGAGGCCCCCACCCATCTCTCCTTCCACCAGGGACCATGCAAGAGGTGTAGACTCCTTTGCACACGGGCTGTGCCTGAGAAGGTGGACAGGAAGTAGCCTAGAAAGGGCTGTGAAGACCCTGAGGAGAGGGCAGCTGAAGAGTCTGCACTGTTAAGTTCTCCCTAGGTTAGGTGCTGGCCTCCTAGAGCAAGGCATGGAAACCTGTCCTCCCTTGCCAGGGCCCCAGGATGACCTCCCCAAGTATGCAGGGCTTCTGGGGTAATTTTTTTTTTCTTTTTGTGGTGCTGGAGGTTGAACCTAGGGCCCTTTGAATGCTAGTCAAACATTCAGCATACCACTGAACATCCCCAGCCAATTTATGTTTTATTTTGAGACAAGTTCTTGCTAGATTGTCTAAGCTGGCCTGCAACTTGCAATCCTCCTGCCTCAGCCTCCTCAGTAGCTGAGATTACAGGTGTATGCTACCACACTCATCCCTGCAGTGAATTCATAATCCCTCTCAGAGCTCCTACCTGCCTCAGGCAAGTCCAAGTGGGGCTCTGTCAGGATGGTGCATGTGGGTCGGGTGGAAAGTTGTTTCACTTAGTGAACAGGAAACTGTGCTTGCGAGTCCCAGCTTTGGATCTAGTCACACCAAATAAGAAAGTCCACCTAGGAACAGCACATCTGGGACACACAGACACAGCCTCTCAGGCAGGAGGTGCACTCAGCTTACGACAGTCAGAACCCACGGATAATCAATTACCTGAGGACCCATGGACAGATCCACATGCATTTGCAGGGACACAGAGGGGACCTTGGCTGGGCCTTCTCAAACACCACTAAAAGTTGGTTTTGTAGAGATAAAGAGCAGAACAGTGGTTATTAGAGGCTGGGGTTTAATAGTGGTTATTATAGGCTGGAGGGGAGAGGTTTACAGGTACAAGGTTAAAGTCAGATAGGAGAAGCTAGTTGTGGAGTTCCACAGCATGTAGTGTGATTATAGTTAATGAGAATTTGCTGTGCGTTTCAGGTCAGAAGAGAGGATTTCTATTGTTCCCAACACAATGAAATGCTAAATAATTGAGGTGATAGATATGCTAATTACCCTGATTTGATCACTATGCCTTATATACATGTATGAAAATGAAACACTGTGTCTCATAAATATGCATGATTCTTGTATATTAATTAAAATTAATTAGTTGATTGGTTATAAAATAAACACTACAAGAATGAAATCAGCCAGATGTACAAAGTGGAAAATTCTACAGGATAAATGAATTTCTTCAACAAATAAATGGCATAAGGGAAAAAGGGATGGCTACTACTATAGACTAAAAGGTACTCAGGGGTCAGTGTGGACATCATTTAGGTCCTGATTTTTTTGGTGGTGGGGGATTGAATTAGGGGGTATTACATCACTGAGAAATATTCCTGTTTTTATTTTATTTTTAAAAATTTGAGACAGGATCTCTCTAAATTGCTCAGGGTGGCCTTGAACTTGTGAACTTTCTGACTCAGACTCCCAATTATAGACATGTGCCACTGTGTCTGGTAGTCCTGAATTTTAATTGATTGATTGATTGATTGATTTTTGGTACTCGAGATTGAATCCAGGGATATTTAACACTGAGCCATGTTCCCAGACTTCTTTATTTTTTATTTTGAGACAGGGCCTTGCTAAGTTGCTTCAGGACTCATTTAGTTGAAGGGCTGGGCTTGAACCTGCTATCCTTCTGCCTCAGTTTCCAGAGCCTCTGGGATTACAGGTGTGCACCACCATGGCCAGCCTCAACTTTAATAACCGAACTATAGATACTTTTTGAGACAACAAAAGAAAATTGATTTGATATTAGATATGAAGGAATTATTGCTGATTTGGTTGGATATAATAACAGCACTGTTGTTATATTTTTTTAAAGTTCTTATGGATCAGAGATACATCCTGAAATAAGACGTAACATGATGTTTAGGATTTGCTTTACTACAACAGAACAAAAAAGTATGGGGACCAATGAAGCAAGAGTGGCAAAATGTCGCTAACTATTGAAGGCGGTATTGGATTCATAATGTGGTTCTTCATTACATGATACTTTCTATTGATTTTTTCATGTCTGTGTGTTTGGAAATTTTTCTACTAAAGAAAACAATTACCAAAGACGGTGGAATGAGATGGACATCATTCCCCTAGGTACACGCATGACTGCACATATGGTGTGATACTAATCGTTTACAATCAGAGAAATGTAAATTTGTGCTGCAATTGTGTGCAATGAATCAAAATGCATCCTGCTGTCATATATACCTAATTAAGATAAATAAACTAATTTTGAAAAAGAAAAGAAAAGAAAAGAAAAGAACTACCAGGCATGGTGGTGCATGCCTATAATCCCTGCTACTCAAGCAGTCGAGGCTGGAGACTCACAAGTTTGAGGCCAGCCTTAGCAAACTGCCTTGAAAAAAAAAAGGGGTGTGTGTGTGTGTAGCTTTGTGGTATTCAATATCAGAAAAAAAGAAAAAAAAATGAAAATTGCCCTTTCTGGGTCATCCCCTCCTTGTCCCTCCACTGTTCTTTTTCTCTGGCCTCCAGAGCAAGTGTGACAGGTCACCCACCCCCACGAGGGCCTGTCTGCCTGGCAAGGGAGTGCTTCTGACCTCTCCTCACAAGGTCCAGCAACATGGGCATCCCTAACTCAGGCTCCAAGGGGGTGAATGACCTGCCCTCCCCTACCCCCAAGAAAACAAGCAGAATGTGGCTTGATGGGAGAGTACCATGGTCCAACTCAGGAACACAGTCCTCTGTGATTTTTTTAAAATTAATTTTTAAATTTTATTTTTTAATTATTGGTGATTGAACCCAGGGGTCCTTTAATGCTCTCTCCAGCCCATTTTTATTTTGAGACAGGGTTTCGCTAAATTGTTCAGGCTGGCCTTGAACATGTGCCTCTTGCCTCAGCCTCCCAAGTAGCAGGAATTGCAGATGTGGGTTATTGCTCCCAGCTGAGTATTATCTAGAAAATAATACCTATCTCATATAGTCAGAGAGGACTTTCAGGGGAATTCAGAGCTCCATCAAACCCAGGGCCTCGTGCATACTAGGCACTGACCCATATCCCCAGCCCATATACACATGCTTTTAAAACAATGACTTGTGGAGGCCCCTTTAACTCTCCTGAAATCCAATGGCACAGTGGAATGGCTTGGTGGGAGAGTACCAGGGTCTCAACAGACACCAAGCTCTCAGGAAGTCCCCAAACGCCCCCTGCGGGTGGGGTCTGGTATTGCCTCAGTTGAGAAGCTTCAAATCTTCCAGGGGGTGAGGAGACCTTGGTCCAAAGGGGGCTTCTTACTTTCTTCTTACTTTCAGCCTCCCAAGTAGCCTGTCTGGGCACTACATCTAACAGCTGCCCTCTGACCTGGCAGGCACGCTCACTATCCCCATGGCACAGGACGGGGGAGCAGGAACAGAGAAGATGGAAACCCCAGCTCTCACAGCTGGCCAGGGCTGGGCCTGGCTTCCTGCCCAGACAGCATGGCTCTGGAACTCTTAACCTCAGTACTCCTGCAGAGGTGTGGGGCACCTTAGTGGCAAAATAGGGTTCGACTTTGATTTCATCCTCTCTTTCCAATTCAGTCTGCTCCAACAGCCTTCCCTTCCATGGTGGGCTCTGAGCTGCCCCTCAGCTTTGCTGCCCCCCAGCCTGGTGGGTTCTCCTGCTGCCTGGTTGCAGCCCCAGGCCCCTCACCCAGAAGCTTTCTTCTGGGCCTTTTTAACCTGAAAATGGGCAGTGCTGTGCCTGGGCCTGAAACCTCCTGCATCTCTGCAGGACCCTCAGAATAAAAGTGAAATCTTTTTAGTAAGATGCCTTCAGGGCGCTTCAGGATCTGGGCCCACACCGGCTCTTCTGGCCTTTGCCACAGCCTTCCCCACACACCTACCCCAAAGAGCTAAGCATCGTTCCTATTATTAGATTGCATATATCATATCCATTTCCCAACAGGTTCCTCCTCTGGAATGGCAGCTGCACTCACCCCTCACCCAGTCTCTTAGGACCCTAAGATGGCACTCACCATTGGGGCCCCGCGGTGGCCGATGAGGGCAGGCTTGGGGCCCAGGTCCTTTTTCTCCATGATGCAGGGAGAAGAGATGGTAAGAGGGGCCAGGTAGAGGGCAAAGACCACAGCGAAGAAGGTACAGAGAATGGTCACCTGGGAAGCTGCAGACACAGGCCATGAGCACCTCATGGTTGGGAGCACCTTCTCCCAACAGGGAACCCTCGGTAGCCAGGGGCGGATGTAGGAGCCCAGCATTCTGAGAGGTAGAGCCCATTCCTGCTGGGAAGTCACATATACACATGAGCTCGCACTCATGTGCATGCACGTGCACTTGGAGGAAAGATGCAGTTGAAGGCTAACAGAGCCACACTTTTTGGTGGAGTCTGTAGGCCTCTCTGAACCAGGACCCCCCCGCCCCTTTGATCACAAGGGCCCCTGCTCAGCTCAGGCTACACAGGTGGAGTCCAGTGGGGGAAGCCCAACCTGGCCTAGGTGTCACGTCAGTGGGGAGGCAGTACTCACAGGACCGTTCTGCACGGGCGAACTGTCCGGCCACGATCCAGGAGAGTGCAGTGATGGCAGCCAGGGCCCCCATGTGCAGAAATGGTGCTGTTCCCTGTGTGTGTGAAGAGGAGGAGGGCCCTGGGACTCTCAGTCATGCCCAAGCCCTCAAGTTGCAAGCAAGCTGATAGCCCACCTTTAACCCACAAAGTCAGTACCCTTTCTCTGTTTACCTGATAAGGACACTGGGAATCCAGAGACCCTGGCTTACAGTATCCTCCCCACCTCTGACCTGCTGTGTGACCCAAATCAAGTTTGCACCAACTTTGGGCCATGCTATGGAGAAACAGGAGACAAAAAGGCAAAGGGTCCTGGTGGAGCACCCTCTTACACCCTTACCTGCAGGGAGATCAGCAGCACTTCCCATTCGTCCTCCCATAGCTGGGCCACGGCTGACATGGCTACCACAGTGGAGGCCAGGATGACCACCAGACCAATCTGGAAGGAGGAAGCATCAGACAGAGTGTCAGAGCAGGTGGTGGGCTCCAGGGTGTCTGAGAGGAAGGGTGGAGAGAGAACCTAGGGACACGCGGGAAGAAATAGAGAAAACAGGGGAGCTAGAGGAAGCAAGATAGAAGGGAAGGAAAGAGATGGCATGGGCTGAGGGGCAGTTGGGGAAGGCAGAGAGAGAGGACAGCCAGACCCTGCAAGGAAGGGACAGGCAGACCCTGCAAGGAAGGGACAGTCAGAAAGAGGGAGGGTGGAGAGAAGGAGACTGGAAGCACTTGGCCAGCAGGGCCTCCCTGCGGGCCACCCGGCCTCCCAGGCCTCCCAGCAAGCTCAGAGGGAAGGTGGCATCCAGGGCAGATGGGATGAGGAAACTGCCTGCTCCAGGCCACAGGGACAGGGCCTGGTGTGCAGCCTAGCCCCACGCACAGGACTAGGCTCACAGTGGCACAGCTGGCAGGGCAAGCACCGGCTCCTTCACCAAGGCCCACCAACCCCAGGGACCCAGCTCTGGCAGCTTCTAATGTGGGAGGGGTCTGCCCTTCAGGGAGCTTCTCCAGAAAGTGAGGAGCATGGCTCTGACAGAGGACAAGGACAACTTCAGGGGACAGAGATTCTTGAGGATGGATGGCATCTGGAACCCCCAAACTAAGTGCCACTAAGTTCAGGTTTCCTGCTTCTCAGCCCCCAGTGCTACCCTCCATTGAGCCCTGGACTTTGCTGCCCATTCCAGCCCCCTGTGCGCTAGGCCTGCTTCGTAGCCCAGTCACACCTCCTCTGCCCAGTGCTCGGAAGCCCGCCGGGACCACGGCATGCTGCTCTCTGGCTTGTCAGACTCGTGGTCCACACGCCACCTGGCCTCTCTGCCTCCCTCAAGCCCTCTTCTCCCTCAGCAATGTCCTCTCGCCTTTCTCCTCCTGCCAGGCCCTTTGTCCTCACAGCAGCGCCCTGAGAACCTCCAGCAGCTGAGCAAGGGCTGCGCGGCCTTTCTAGACCTGAGGCAGGGACAGCGGCCTCGTTTTGCTCCCTGCCAGGCAGGGAAGAGGAATTCTTGCCCGGGATTAACTTTTCCTTTGGAGACTTGTCATTTCAGCCCATTGGCCTGGAAAAAATAGGTCCTCTCCTAAGAAACAGTAACAAGTCAAACAGGTAAAGGCCTTTATGGGTTGTGACATGCCTCTTCTGGGACAACGGAAGAAGGTGTGCCTGGGTCTGCCTGCAGCGGGACTCGGGGTGTCCTTCCCTGTATTCTGACACCTCGGGTGAGCCCTTGTCATTTCCTACCGGGGGAGCGGGCTCTACTCACTTGGTCTCACAGCTTCAGAGGCGGATCCAGATACAAACCGCTCTGCCTGTGCTCATTCATGGAGTTCAGGCTGCTGTGGGGAGGGCTGGGAGTTGAGGGGAAATGGAGGAGCTCCTAACCATCCTGAGAAGCCCCTCCCTCCACACCCAGGCTGTCCACTCGAGGCACACATCTGCCCCCTTGTGGCCTTGGGAGAGAGCTGGCATCCCGGAAGGGTCGTTTCTGAGAGCATCTCATTACAATTAGTAACTTTGGTGGAAATACAGGCAATAAAACTGACTCCTCATAATCCTAATACAATTAAAAATCCGACCACCTCTGGGTTTTACAGATGCAGCAGCAGCAGCTACAAGCTCAGCAGCTCTGCTGAATATTCAGTGTGGATCTCCCTCTCTGATGCGTCCTTAAGCCATGGTAATAGCACCAACTCACAACAATGTGAGTCCTGGGCCTTAAGGCTGGCTAGGAAGGATGACTCCCCCGCTGGTGGCCTGGAGACAGACTGAGAGAGTGGTCTTGGATTTCTGTCCTGTTGGGGCTGTGGTCTGTGATGGCGATGAGGGTGGAGGCTGTGGCAGTGCGCTCATTCATCCCAGAGGTTTGCCTGGGTGCTGGGACCCAGCCCTGCAGAGGGGCAATGGGTTGACCTCTTGGGGGTGCCTGGCCTCTGGGTTCTGGGATCCCAATAGCAGACAGTTGGCTCAAGGTGAGAGCCACACCCAAGTCCCACTCCTGGGTCAAATCCTGGTTCTTCTGCTCTTCATAAATCTTGCCTAAGCTGAGATATAGGGACAGTGAGTGCCTACCTGGGAGAGTTTGGGGATGATAAATGAGGAAATGCCAGCATCGAGAGGAAATGCTTCCTGAATGTTAGTAGGATCATTTTAAGTAACAGCAACTGAACAGGATGATTGTGAGGAAGGAATGAAACTCTGTGTGGAGAGTGCCTGATGCACGCAGTAAGTGCCTAATTTTATGTGCCAATGGTTAGTGCTGTTATGATGAACACAGTTCCTAGCGTATAGGCGGTTCTCAATGAATGTTCCTTTCTTAAGCCACAGCTGGAGGGATAGAGGCAGAACACCAGGCAGAACTGTGGAGCCTGGGTTAGTTATTGGAGAAAATCCTGAATTCTCTGGCAATGTGGATGGTGTGGACAGAGTGGTCAGCAAGCTGAGGCCCTGATCGAGTCTGGGATGTGGGCAGACACACCAGCCCAGCTGCTCTGGGGCTCTACGGTTCCCAGTGTTCCTCTCTGGCCTCAAGTTGGGTCACTGACAGAACCCTCCTCTGCAGGCTGTGGCTGAATCCCCTGTGGCAGGAGGAGGAGACAGGCTGGGGAAGGAGGAGCTGCCTTTGGCACCCCACAGTGGTGGCATCCCAAGGAAAGGGCCTTGTGTTTACTGCCAAGCCCCCAAGAACACTTCAACCTTCCCCACACCTTCTGGGCTCCTGGGAGGGAGTTCTGGGAGACAGGAACTCTGGGCAGACTTGGGAGGAGGAGGAAGGTCCCCAGGGGATCCTTGATTCTCTCACAATACCAGGTGTTGAATAGATGGCTCCCTCCCCACCCAGTCCCTGAGCACTTCTGTCCTTCCTTCCTCAGGATCCAGGGGAAACCCAGATTCAAAATATAGGTCATGATTAAAACATAGCAGGGCTAGGGATGCAGTCCAGTGGTAGATGCCTGGCATGCACAAGGCCCTGGCTCCATCCCCAGTATTACAAAAACAGAAACAAAACAATACCATAAAACTCAAGAGTTCAAAGCAACATGATAATAAGTAAAAAGTTCAGAAATAGATCAGAATGTATAAAAATATATGGTTTATGATCAAAGTGGCATCTCAGATTAGAGGGGAAAGGCAGGCTTGCTCAGAGAAGACAGCTGGGAACACTGGGAAACCGTCTAAAAAGAACTAAGTAAGATCACACCATGCCCCGAAATAACTTCCAAAAAGATTTAAAAAAATTTAAATGTTAAAAAAAGTGAAAACATAATTACCAAGTGATACCACAGAGAAATTTTATATAATCTCGGAGTGAGAAAGATCTAAGTCTGACACAAAACCCAGGAGCCATAAAAAGAGATGACAGATCCAAGTACTTAGGAAAAAAAAAAAAAAAAAAAAACCCCAAACTAAAAAACCTTGTGGCACAAATACAATGAACAAAGTCTAAAGATAAATGATAAACTAGGAAAAATCATCTGCAGCCAAAGGGCTAATCACCCAAATCTATAAAGAGCTCCTGCAAATTAATAAGTAAAAAGCAAATTCCATAGCAAAAAGGGCAAAACACTAAGAGACAACAGACAGAGAAGACGCACGTGACTCAAGCTGCTGAAAAGTGCTGACTCTAACTCATCCCAAGGGAAATGCAAACTATAGTTAGGTTTCATTTTTCACCAATCAGATCGGCAAAGGTCAAGAAATTAGCTCACATCTGTGGGTTAGGGGTGTTTTTGTGGGCCTGGCCATACATTGCCAAGAAAGTCTGAATTAATGGCACTTGGCAACTAGGCCACTTGGCAAGATCAAGATTATGAAAGTAGACATTCTTTACCCAGAAATTCCTCTCCTGGGTCATTGCCACACTGCCTGGGTTGTGGACTGAAAAGCAGCTGGGTTAGCGACTAGGGCCATCAACAGGGGCCTGGCATGGATACCTAGGGAACTTGGGAATGCCCAGAGCAGGGAGCAGGAGAAAGTGATGGCCCCAAAGGTCTACTCTTAATGTCCCTAACAGGAGTGCCAAGCATGTTGTCAAGGGGCAGGACAGAGGGTGTTGTGTTTAAAGAGAAAGAAAAACAAAATGTACATGTATGTTTGTGCTTAAAATGTCTCTGGAAAAAAAGAAATTTTCATTGTGTACTTTTTTGTGTCATGAGTTTTGAACCACATCAATGCATTATGTGGTCAAAAATAAATTAAAACAAAAACAAAAGACAGCTTTCTTAGAATACAATGACAGAATCGTGAAAAAATAGAATACGTATGGAAAACTTCCAGCACCTGCTCAAAAGCCCAGAGCCCTCCCCCTGGCGAGGCAGTCCCTGGTAAGCCCCTCCTCATGCCTTGATCCCACAGACAGGATGGAGGGGAGAAGGGAGAGGAGGTTACGCCTGGCCCCCAGGGTGGGTACCCATGCAGAGATAGCATTGATGTGCTACCTCCGGCTGGCTCAGTGGCTCTATAGGCCTCTCCACCAGGATCAAGTGGATGTGACCTGTCCTGCTGAGAGGCAGGCTTGGCCCCAGGAGGTGACCACAGCATGTGCCAGCCCCACCTAGGGTACCAGCTGGTGCAGTTCTTTCAAGTGTTAACATTGCAGCCAGGAGAAGAAAGTGCCTCACAGAGGGGGCTGCGGAAGCTCAGAGGAGTCACCAGCCTCAGAAAGGTGGGACGGGCCCAGGGGCTGCTCACTGCTCTAAACCCCTGTAAGACCAGCTATGCTACAGGTGTAGCTGCTGTCTCCAGACCCTGTCATTAACCAACCTTGACCCCCACCCCTTCCCACACTGCTCACAGGCCTGAGCCCTCAGCTCTCTTCCTCTTCCTGGCCCCCCTTCTAGCTGGAAGTGAGCCCTTTCACTTGGAGTCACTCTGGACCCATCTCATGGGCTCATGGCTGTTTCTGAACACTTTAGCACCTTCCTAAGTGGTGTGCCCACTCTGAACCAGGTTCTGGGAAGAGATGACCTAGCCTTCCCTCCATGGCCCAGGGGCTGTCTGGATCAGGTTTGCACCACACCTGGGCACCTACTCAGGCAGAGTGGGCATCAGAAACCCAGGGAATTGCACCAAGCATTCACGTGTGATGTGCAGGCTAAGGTTCTAGGTGGTGTGAAGCCTGCCTGCTCTGGGTCCAGCCCTGAGTGGGGTGCTGGGGTGGGGAGATGGTCAATGCCAGTTCCAGTCTGCAAGGAGCACTAGATCTGCAGGGAGCACCAAGGAGTGGGTTGGGGTGGGCAAGCCAGATAGAAATTGACAACACGGATGTTCTGAAATGTAGCAGGGGAGATCACAGGGACTGGGGAGCCCTAGGACAGAAGACTGGGTGTGTAGGGACCAGTAACAAGGAAGGAGTCAAGAGACAGGGAGCAAGGGGGTAAAAGAGGAGAAAAGGCAGGTGGGAGGGCTGGAGGGTCAGAGATGTCTCACACAGCAGGAGCTGAGGGTGACCGGCCCAGGTCAGGAGCAGGGAGACGTTGGCTGGGTGGGTGGGAGGGAAAGTAGGAGAGTTGAGGTCATCCTGGGATCCCTGGAAGTGATAGAAATGACTTCGCCTGACCAGAGTTTTATAAAGAACTCACTGAAGAACGAAGAGGAGGTGAAACTTGAGACAGAGTCAGTGGGTGGGCTGGGCAGCCATAGGAGCTCTGACACTGACCGCCCTCCCCCACTGATGTTCTGGATCAAACCGAGGCAAGAGGGCTGGAATCCTGGACCTTCCACTTAAGCACTGGGAGACATTGGGCGAGTGACTTAACCCCTCTGTACCTCATTTCTTCCAAATGGGATATGGGATGATGTCAGAGCAACCTCCTAGGCTCCCTGTGTGGGCTGCAGGCAGAATAAAGGCCCGGCTCTGAGAATCCCGCCTGACCCGCAGCAAGGGCTCCCTGTGAGCCAGTGGAGCAGTGGCAGCTGTGATCCAGGGCAGGGATGGGGGACCCAGGCTTTTCACCCGCTGCCCTGGCCTCCAGCCTCCCCTCCCTGCTCCTGGCCCAGCAGAGGCAGGCTTACCTTGTGCAGCCAGTGCAGGTTCATCTGCTGCCCCACGGCAATGTGACATAGCGCCAGCACCTGAGGAGAGGCCCGCAGGGTGGCAGTTAGGCTGGTGCCTGACCTGGCCTGACCCAGGGCAGGGTCAGCCAACCCTTCCTACAGGCGATAGGAATGCCCAGCCCAGCCCTGTCCAAGCCTGGCCTCCTTCCAGATTATTCTAGGACTCCAGGCCCCTCCCCTTGGATTTTTCCCTGAAGCAGCCACTGGGCCCTGCTGCACTTGGACTGCCCAACTTAATTCATCAAATATTTTGGGAGTCCCAGGCCCTAGGATTCTGAGACAGATTTGAGTCCTGGCCCTAAGAACTCCCAGACCAGAATGGGGTCCACATGAATCTCTGTCACTGGGATACTGGGAGCAGGAACCTAATGTGGAGTTCTTGGAAGAGGAAGTCTACAGTGGACAGCAGGGTGGCTCTCACTGGGCTGGGGCAGGAGTGCGGGAGGACAGACATTCTAGGATGGGCAGCTGAAAGAGACTGGCAAAAGAGATGACCTTTCTCCTTGGGGGACCCAGGTCTCAGAAGTGCAGCCACCTGAGGGACCCTGGGCAAAGCCAGCTTCCCCCTTTAAACCAAGGCAGGCCTAGCACCAACCAAGTGTCCCTGCCTACTAGAAGCAGGGGGACCAGCCCTCTGAGACAGCCCTGTGTACCAGGAGGCCTGCGATGTATGTGAAGGCAGCAGCTGTGGTCACGAGGATGGGCACAGACCAGTCACTCCAGTAGCCCATGCGGTTGTAGAGGTACCTGCCGGGAGGAGAAGGGGCAGGGGTCAGACCTCCACAGGCTACTGCCTGGCTCAGGAACCAAAATGATCTCGGGTCTTCCACAGCCGCAGCTGGGTGGCCCACAGGCTGGTCCAGCGGCCAGGCCCTGCTCGCCCTGTAGTGGCCGTCAGCGTTTCCCTCGTCATTAGAACATGACTAATGCTCTTCAGCTTCTTGGTCTCCTGGTGTCCACCAAGGGGGACCAAGACACATAAAGAACAATTCCCCGTAATTCTACTGTCCAGAAATAACTGTCACCAAGACTGCAGGATTTTCTTCCTGTGGATCCCCCACACCTATATATTTGAACAGCGAAGCTGGGCCCTGGGCACACAGGAGCACCCACAGCAGGAGGCTTTGGGCACCGTGGACATGCTGGCTCCAGTTCCCACTCTGCCTCTGAAGCGCTAATGGGACCTTGAAGTGACAGGCTTCTCTGCCATTGGTTGTAACACTCACCCCCACCCCAGTGTTCAAACGTGAAAATGTGGGGTCTCAGAGATGATGAAATGTAATCCCTGACTTCTCTGGGCCTTAGTCCCCGATCTGCAGGACAGATAAGAGCAGCGTGCCCTTTGGAGGGTTCTGAGAGGAGGAAAAGAGGCGAGGCACATGGTGAGCACTCAACAGACTCTTCTCAGCACAGTGTTTACTGCTGTCTGCAAAAGTGCTGAGGAAATGTGATTTTTAAAAACAGCCATGTGGTCCTCTATTGAATCCATGTGCCATATATAGCCAACTTCCTAGAATGGCACTTCATCGTTTCCACTGATTCACTATTACAAATTAGCACAAAAATGAAAAAATTGTGCATATCTTTTTGTATTTCTGGCTATGCCCTTAGGACAGATCCCCACCAGAAGGATTATAAGGTCCAGGGAATGAGCTTCTTAAGGCTCTCCGCAGCTTAGCCGCTCTCAGAATGATGGAACTGCTCACGTCCTCACTGTACAGCTAGGAGAGCTGAGGCCCAAAGGAGGCAGCAACTTGCTCAGGGTTGTTAGAGAGCCAACGTCAGCACCAGGCCGGTTCAGCCTGCTGTCACCTTGGGCCTTGAAAGGGGGCAGGTAGGGGATACCAGGAGGACCCAGGGGAAGACCTACTACCTGGAAGATCATGAGCACAGTCATCTTGCTGCTCAGTTGGGGAAACTGAGGCAGGGCTTCCCCTGTAACTGTTCCTGAAAGATATTCTGGTCCCAAGTGTCTCAAATTCAACCACTTTGGGGCTCTCTAGGACACCACAGTTCAGATGGCCCTCTCTGTCCCACTTGGTGAGCATGGGCCTCCTTGTGTCTTGCTCACAATCTCTTACTACACGAACTAACCCCAAAAGCTCGTAAGACCTTGAGGATTGAGTCAGGATCTCCTGAACCTTGGTACCCAGCCTCCAAGACCCTGGGGTGACAGGCAAAGAGCTGCAGCTCCCAGGCACTCCACAGTCCCAGGTGGCCTTTCCTTACAGTCTCCCACCAAGACAGGCAGATAACCTCGGCTGAGTCTGCCAGGAACAGGGAGCTCTCTCTGTGAAGAGTGGATGGCTCCGTGGACAACATGATAGTTAAGTCCAAGTCCTGTGCCAGATCCACCCGCATCTCACATATGACCTTGCAAGGGCCCTTTCATCTCTCTGGGTCTGTCTCCTCAGACTGTCCTCAAATATGTGTTTTTGTCACTGACAGGTCATATGACCATGAATGTGTCCCCTCCTTCTTTGGGCCTCAGTCTCCCCATCTGTGCTTGGTACACCCTCTGATCTCCTAGGTCAGCAGAACTATCCAGGGTCTGCCACTGAGGCCCAGGAGGAAATGTTCACAATGGTACTCAGGCTTTGGATACCTGAACAGACGAATAATTGATTTATGGAATTTAATAAAGACCAGAGGCCACCTCTGGGACCCAGCTAGGGCTCTGGCTCATCTTTCTGGGCTGCTGTGGAGAAGGAGTGAGACCGCAGCGCGTCCTTTATTGTGCTCATTAATAACAGGGGCACAGGCTGGGGCTGTGCAGAGGAAAGGGGACAGCCAGATTCCACGGTCCATGAACGGAGTCTCAGATCCCCACAGAATCCCAGAAGCATGGCCCATCAAAAGCCGAGTCCGAGGAACCCCACAGCCCCCACACAGCACCCTCCAGCTGGAGACCTGGTCTCCTGGGAGGCAGCCTCCCACACCCACCCTCCCATTTTACCTCAGATCAACCCAGTGCCTTCCAGGGGAGGACTGGGGGCGAGAAGAGACAGTACCCCTTCTGCACCCAGGTACCTGCCTCAGACAGCCCTGCCTTTGGACCTGAGGTGCCCACGAAGGAGACTGAGCTGTCCCCAGACCATAGCCATGGCCAGCCATGCCCAGGGCTGGCTCGGAGAGTTAGGAGGTCTGGGGTTGGGGCTTCTCCTCTGCTGAGGCTTTGGTCTCTCTGGGCCTTGGAGTTCATGTCTAAAAAGGAAATGACCAGAGGCCCGGCCTGGGCTGAGTGCTGTGCCCCTCTTCCGCTCCTCTTTTCCCTGGCACAGCCCCGGGAGGGGTGTCCTGTAGCCCGTATGGTGTGCTTCCGCTCCTGCCTCCATTGATTTTTCAGGTGCCCCTCGTGCCTCCTCAGGCAGGCCATGCAGGATGAGTCACCCATGTAAACACCAAAGGTCTGAGGGCCAGCACTGAGTTTCATGGGCTCAGTCCCCGCCGTCCTTGAAGGCTGTTCCTGTGCCCTCCCAAGGTCCCAGTGGGAATGCCCTCAGGGCAGGGGTCTCCTTTCCTCTCCATCTTTCTTGCCAGCCTGGGATGTACACCACGCCCCCTTCTCTCCCAACCTCACTGAGGCCCTGTAGGTGGGCAGGACAGAGGCTCCTGGGGTGGGCCTTGCTCAAGGCCACAGGAAGGACAGGTATCAGAGCCCTCAGATCCAACCTGGGAGAGAGGCTCAAACCAGAGCCCCCAGGTCCCAGCCACTGATGCCCAGGACCCAGCCCCCACTCACCAGTTGAACTCGTCGTAGTCATTGTGGACTTCCCACCAGAAGTACAGCCAGGTGAGCGTGAGGCCAAAGGTGAAGGTGAGGAGCAGGAACCAGAGGCGCTCCCACTGCAAGGGCAGAGGAGGAGAGGGGTCAAGTGCGGGTCCTGCCAGGCAGGATTAGTGCCCTCTTGGTACTGGTGAGCAATGAAGGCTGAGAGGGGAAAGGACCTGTCCAACGTCACAGGGACCAAAGTCACAAATGTGTGGGGAACAAGGAACAGGGCCCACCCCAGAGCTGTGGTCTTTCTGCTGCAGACTAAGGTCAGTGTGTGTTGGTCTCCTGTTCTGGCAAATGGTCCCCAGAAGCAAAGTCTCATCTGCCCTCAAGCCTTCACACTGGCCAGTGACTTGCAGTCTGTGAAGTCACATCCCTCATTTCTTTTGTCCTCAGACATGCTTACAAAGCAGGTCCTCGTCTCCACTTCTACCCCATGCTTCTGATAACAACACTGAAACCCAGAAAGGCCAAGTGATTTTGATTTGTCCAAGTCACACAGCAAGTTAGCACAGGATTAGGGACCAGGGCCCCAGAACTAGGGCCCTAGACTCTAGGCTTTAAAGAAGTAAGTATAAAGTTCCGCCTCCTCTTCTGAGCACTGATGCTTCAGGGCCTGGCGAGGCTGTCTCCAGTCCAGAGTGGCGATGGAGGGTATGCTGACCACCACTGCTGCTTCCAGAGGTTTTGGCTCAGAGGTGCTTCTGCCTGGGCCTTATTCCTTTCTTTTCTCTATACCCCAGTCTCAGAAGCACAAGCTAGGAACATCCTGCATAAGGGGGCGATGACTGCCAAGGTCATCAAATAAGTCAGTAGCCTTTTGGGGGAGGTCAACGTAATGAGGGAACAGAGACCACCTCCCTTCCTGGGCCCGGAGTGGTGGAGGCATCCTTTCCTTCACCTGGGCACCACCTCGCCCTTGCCAGGCTCCCACTGCCTTGACCCCTCCTGAAATGACAGCCAGCTCGAAGCTATGGTTCCAACTGGTCCCACTTTAACCCCCTTGACTTCTCCACCTTCACTCCAACCAGTTCCCTCAGCCAGGAAGGGCCACTCTCCCTAAGCTTGTTCTGCCAAAATTCCTGTTCATTTTTTTTTTTTCTTGGTACCGTGGATTGAGCTCAGGGGCACTTGACCACTGAGCCACATCCTCAGCCCTATTTTTTTTTTTTTAAATTTTATTAGAGACAGGATCTCATTGAGTTGCTTAGCGGCCTCACCATTGCTAAGGTGGCTTTGAACTCTTGATCCTCCTGTCTCACCCTCCCTAACCACTGGGATTACAGACCACTGTACCCAGCCCTGTTCACCTTTGAATCAGTTCAAATATCACCTTCTCTGGAAAGCCTTCCTGGGTTCTGCCTTAGCACCCTTACACCATTTCTCTACTCCACAGCAATAGGGTCCCTCTGATTTTGTTTGGTTTTTGGTACTGAGGATTGAACCCAGGGGAGTTTACCACTGAGACACATCCCCAGTCCTTCTTATTTATTTACTTTTAATGTTGAGAAAGGGTCTCACTAAGTTGCTGAGGCTGGCCTTGAACTTGTGATCCTCCTGCCTCAGCCTCCCAGGCTGCTGGGATTAAGGTGTACAACGCTGCACCTGGCAGCATCCCTCTGTTTTTAAACTTGTACTCTTTGCATCCTGACCTGCTCAAGTGGCCATTCCCCAGATGACATAGTTCCAACAAGATGGAGACGGAGTCTGCCTCCACTCCATCAGCATTTATGCCTGAGCAAGAAGCTGCAAGGGGAGGAAAAGTCCAGAACATCGCTCACCTTTGCTGCCCAGGGACACCTCAGTGGGGGCATTAACTACAGCATCTGGAGCCAGACTGCCTGGGACTTCAAATCCCTATCTACCATTAATAGGCTGTGTAACTAACCTTGAGCGTGTTACTCAACCTCTCTGTGCCTGCTTCTTCCTCTGTGAAATGAACTTAAGAGCAATCAAATCATGAGGTCGATCTGAGAATTAAATGAGCTAATACAAGTCAAGTACTCAGAACGATGGCTGGCAAACAGTGGGCACTCTCCATTAGCATACCATAAGCACCTGTGCCTCTCTACAGCATGCAGGAGAAGCCATCTTCCTGGGTCATCTGTGACTTGGTACACACTAGCAGCTCCCCCCACCCCATGAGTCACACAAGTTGGTGACCCATGTCTGGGTAAGCAGCCGCCACCACTCATTGTCACGTGCAGAGCCAGGCTGCTTTGCTTAACCCCCCCTTGATTTAAAACAGAGACGAAGGTGACCATACTCTAAAACCCAATCCTTCCAGCAGGTCTGGGGTGGGGATGGCTTCTTAGGGTAAGTCGCTTGTGCCTGCCCACCTGGGCGTATACTGGCACGAGCCCCAGCTCCAGGCATGGCAAACCCAGGATAGAAACAGAGAAAACCTGGTAAGAAGCAGAGCAGGCCACGTGCCCTCCTGGGGGACTGAGGCCCATGTCAGGGAACCACTAGGACAGTCTGGGTGGTAGCTCCATGCTGCTTTCTGAGGCCAGGCTATGGATCTGGCCCGAACCACCAGGGCTAGGCCTCTCCACCTCCTCCACCCTGGCTGGCCCAGCATCTCCGTTTAGTCCTTCTCAGAGTCTCTGCTGTTGCCTCAAATTCTTATTTGTTCATAACAGACCCCATTTCCTGCAGGGTCCAGCTGGCAGCTCTCAGGCCAGTCTTAGTGTCTGGGGCTCCCACAAAGGGAGCTGTGACCCCAGCCTCATTCCCTTCTGGTGTGTCATGCCCCAGCTCAAACTCCCGGCTGCCTGAGCTCTTCCGCAGACTCTGAGGCCAGGCCAACCTTCGCACCTGCAGCCCCACACGTGCTGACCTGCCACAGTTCCCAGCAGGCCCTGTGGAGCCTACAGCTTTACGTGAGCCACATCTTCCATGGAAGGCAGCCTTTCCCTCCTCAGTGAGACCCCTCCTCCCCAAGGGCATCCCTGTCCTACAGGGTGAATCCCAGCTGGCGCCCCACCACCCTCACACCAACCTCCGCGTCAGCAGAACCTGCAGGTCTGTGATTCTGCGTGTGGCTCTGCCCTCGGGATGTGAGCACACTGAGGAGCTGGGTGTCCTCATATCCCCAGGTGGTGGAGGAACTCAAGAAAGACTTGATAATGAACCGGTAGATTCCTTTTCTCCCACCCTGGTGTGATATGCTCATCCAGGAGAGATTTCATTGGGGCTTGACCACCCTGCCCCACCCACCAGAGGAGCGCTCAGTCCTGGACGGACTGAGCTGGTGGTGCCGGGTGCCCATCTGTCTCCAGGGCTTGCTCTCCTGCAGCAGCAGCGAGCTCTGCACTGCACTTCGAGCAGTGGCCAAGGCCCCAGGTGACGAGAAGCCACAGCTTAGGATGGCACAAGTGTCCTGAAGGTCGAAATAGTAGAGCACCTGCTGCAGGTGCTGGGAAGACATCCGGCAGCAAGGTGTGAGAAGGACCCAGGGTGACACCGACAGGTAGCCCGGAAGACCACAAGCATTGTAGGGGTCAGGTGGCCCCCAGAGGTCTTGTGCTCCATGACATGACCAGATCCTTACTTTGAGCCAGAACAGGACAAGAATGGGGGACTGCATCCCTGCCCCTAGAAACTGACCAGGGTGTCAGGCGTAGAGCCTACAGGTACGTGAGGCACCCAGGCATGGCAGGGACTGGGACAGGGCCTCGGCAACAAGGAACTAGGAACTCCGTTTTCAGGACAGGGGCTTGAGTGAGGGTTGGAGGGTCTGGGGACTGCAGGCCTGGGAGCTAGGAGCTGGAGGTCAGCTGGCTACAGGGGGCCCTTGGAGGAGGATGAAGAGGGCTAGGCAGTGGAGGGGGAGGGGCGAGTGTGCGCTGAGAACAATCAGAGGAAAAAACTACAGGACAGCGGTTGGAAGGAAGGGGAAGGGGAAGGCAGGGACTGGAGGAAGCCGCCTGTGTGCAGCTCCACTGATAAAGAGGTTCCAAATGGCACTAATGGTCCTTGTCAGGGTGCATTATGGAGGAAAAAGGCCTGTGCCGCTGTACCATTAACAAGCCAATCTGGCCCTGCTCCCGGAGGATGGCAGCAGGGATCACTGCCCCAACTGGCCTCCTGAGGCCGCTGCCATGCAGAGGGATAGCACTTCTCCACCTCCCGGTCTCCCACAGCCTGCACAGGGTGAGGGAAGGATCCCCACACATGGCTGAGCAAGTTGGGCTCTGCCCCACGCCAAGAAGCATGGGGTTTCCACACAGGTGCAGATTCATGATGACAATTTTTGACAAATGGCAGGCAGGTGGCAGAAGGGGTGCCTTCTTTTCTTCATTTGCACAAGGGCTTAGTGTGGGCAAGTGGAGGTCAGAGAGGTCACCAAGTGGGAGAAGAGTGGGGAACCCTGGATTCCTGACAGAAGCAGCCCTGAACTGCTTCCCTCAAACCTGCCCTTACCCTCGGGACCCCATATGGCCATCCCAGGCCCAGCGTGGCTTCACCCTTCCCTTTCTCTGGGTTGTATCCTGGGTCCAAACTCTGCTCTTTCCTGCTCCCAAAGACCTGCCCTCCTGGAGCATCCTGCTCTGGCTCTTGGTACCTACCAACTTGACCTTACACAACATCATCGTGGAAAGGGCCTGACCTCTGAAGGCCAGGCTCTGCCACATGGGCCAATCATTTAGCCCTCTGAGCCTTGACTTTTTCACCTATAAAATGGGAATCATAACTGCTGCCATAGAGGGGTGCTGTTAAATGAGCTATTGTACTTCAACTGGTGTACAGTATGCACATACTAAAGGTCACTTCTCTGAAGTTTGGGCTCCTTTGGGGCAGGGATGCCTGGGATATCTCTGGGTCCAGCATCACGCTGGAGCACAAGAGGTGGGAATAACTGAAGAATATGAATAACTGAAGAATAACTCAGATATGGTGGGAATAACTGAAGAAGGGACTGTGTCTCAGGGATGCTCAGGGCCACTGGAGGACAAGGCCATCATTCAAGCCCCAGACTTATTCTCAGGCCAGGGGCCCAGGGAAGCAAGGGCAGGAACTCCCATGACACAAACCTCCTCTCCTTCCTTTCAGCGCCCTGGCAGCCGCC